AAAAAAAAAAAAAAAAAAAAAAAAAAAAAAAAAAAAAAAAAAAAGTATGGCAGAAAGTTTGCAACGTCGGATATGGAGATACATCGTCATACTGTACCGCACTTTCGCCATCCAGGAAAGACAAGAGATGCGAAATGAGATTTCCTTATGCTGAAAAGTGATCTTCATTTTTCATGAAATTTCAGCCATTTTTCTGAGGCTGCGTATGCAACCAGCACAACAAGCAACAATAATCCGAGACTTTGATAAGAGACTACGAAGTTTGACTCATATATTTAATTTAATATCAAGATTTTACTGTTTCTAGGTGTTCCTTGGCATATTCAGTCCATTACAGAAGTTTTGAAAAATGCCATACAATTTCATGAAATTTTATTACACCTACCTATAAGTTTCATAAAATTTTGCATCTCTACCTGAAATGAAACTCACGGAGTAAATTTTTAGATCAACCATAGTTCAGATAGTTACAGAAATGGACGATTCAAATTAGATTGGAACATCTGGAAAGACATGATGCAATAGAAAAGCTAAGGTGAGGTAATTTTGGAGTAATTTTGAGTTTGAACGGTCAAAGATTCTTCCATCAAAGATTCCACACGTTTCTGTTAAACTCTGTCCAATTATGTGAGTATGCTTGTTGGAAACGAGATAAAAATGAGCAAATAGAATTGGTGCCATGGAAAGTTATCGAGTAATCTGAAAACACATTATTGCATCATTTTATTCATTTACAACATTAAACCACAGACGAGTGGGACAGATTTTCCATCTGCAGTTTTACACTTTTTACATAATTTTGACGAGAGATATACGCAATGGTATTTAACCCTACAAAGGTCCTCTGCAAGCCAAGAGTAATCAAATAAAAAGAAAACATGAAATTTCTTGAAAAGTTTCAATTTATTTTGGAAATACAAACGAAAATGCGCCAAAGGAGAGTAAAAAAAAAGAGGAAATGTAAAAAAACATTAATTGTAGAAACTTAAAAAGAACATAAATACAGGGTTATCACTTATCCTACTTTTTTTGTTTTTTCTTTTCAGCTTCTTCCTCTTTCTCTTTTTCAATTTCTGTGACATACTTTTCAATGGTTTCTGCATCTAACATCTGAAATAATAATAATAAAAAACACAGAAAGTTAAGTTAATTTTCTGTACTTTTAAACACTTGATTCAGATTTTGAATTTATCTTAGATTTACGGTTGGATCAGAATATGAAATTTTGTAGATAAAGTTTGTTAGTTAGTTTTGATATTGCTTTTTAAAGTCATGTGTGCTATTATTTGGACGGATTGGAACAGAATCAGCCGAACAACTTTTAAAACATGCAAAAATATATCGGCATCAAAAATACCTCTAATAATAGGCAGTGTATATTACCAAAGCACAACTACTATCATAACCACATTTAGATATAACGGAAGTTCCGATTTCTTTCAAATTCATGTTCAGTTTTTCTCATCAAAAACTGTCTCATGAAAAGAATTCAGCAGCCAAAAGCAGTTGAGAGTGGAGTAACTTCTGGATAATGAATTCTCAGCTGAGAAGGATGGAAATGAGAAAATAGAAAAATTTACCTCTAATGGTTCATTCTTCCTCATGACAGCAATTTCTAAGTTCTTTTGTCCAGACTGAACAACTTCTAGAAGAGCTTTGATCGCTAGTTTGACAGTGCCTTTTTCTGTTGATACATCACTTTCTGGGTAATATTTTTCTAAAAATTCTCGAACAGTTTTGGCGTTTCTACCTGTTGCATTAGCCTGGAATAATAGAGAATAAGAAAAATAACACTGCAAGAACTGGAAAAGAGGATAGTCAAAGAATGAAATAACAGAGACGGATGGTAATGTTAGATGATTGAATGAAGGTGAGCATAGACCAAATAAGACAGATTCCTCATCATTATGCTACTGGTTGAGCCAATGCTCAAATGAGTTGGCAACACCCTTACAGATGCAGGTTATTATTGACCTCAGAAAAAGGATATACTAGTTACAAAGCTTTAAAAGATGTGTAATGACTGAATCCCCCCCCCTTTTTTTTTGAGGAAGTGGGGCTTTGTCCACAAGCGGAAGTTCCCAGAACTTAGGTGGAATAAGTTATAGCTGAGTTATAAATTATTCTGTCAGAAAAGGGGCGAAAAATTATGCGCAGCTGAAGTTCTGCAAACTTGTTCCTCCAAAGTTTCACGAGCCATAGCTTTTGTGGACAAGGCCTAAACAATAGAGGTGGCTAGAATGATAACTCATCACAGGCTGGCTGGCCAGGTATAGAAGCTTTTTTGATAACATCTATTATTCCTTCAAATTAGATCCATTGATGTTTTTTAAGCTTGTTCAAAGTTCACTTCGTAATGGGTGCCTGTGACAACCTACCCAATAATAAGGGAAGTTGGGTCTTACTTTTGCTACATTTCTTTACTTAAAAGGGTGAAAATGTCTGAAAGTAGTATAATTTTCCTATGATTTTTGAAAAAATAGACTAAAAATTTACGCATAAGACTAAAAATTGAATTTTTCAAAATTTCTTCCAGATTTTTAGAGAATTTCAAAAGAAAATTTTCAAAGAAAGAGAATGACATTGACTTTATATGTTCCTTTTTGCTTTCAGTGTTCGTAACAGTAACAGGATCGGGCAAGGCAAATCACAAGATTCTTTGCACGAAAATCTCTTAAGGGCTTTTTTTTTAATCCGTGGAAAGCATGGAACGCGCTGGTAGCAGTTCGGGCTGGTTCAACCGGCCTAACTGCGGCCTCAACCAACCTCAACCCATCTCGGAAGAGCGGTCGAAGCATTCCACTGGAACACATGGACCGCGCCAGGGGAGTGGGACAAAAAAGTGATGCGTTCTGTAACGATCCTCTGCGCTTCGGATAAAAAAAAGACATTAAAAATGTCCATGGGACAGCTTGCATAGTTCCAGCAGAGTTCAAAGACTTTTCTTCGTACCTAACACTATATCTGCTCCTTTATGTCTTGCTTTTTAATGTCTTGCAGTTTGTAAACTGATGGGCTGATGTTGATTTGTACAAAAAGTTTTTTGAAGAAATTTCTTGCATTAAATATACACTTGGGAAGGATTCTGCAAAACCTGGCATTCAAATACATTTTGGTTATATTGAAGACTAAGAATGCGTATGTACTTACTTTCCATTCATAATAAATCCCTGAGGGTTCTGTTTGATACAGATGTGGTTGACCATCATAGTCAAAGCCTCCGATGACACAGGAAATACCAAAAGGTCTTCTTCCGTTACTTTGAGTATATTTCTGTTTCAAACCTATAACAAAGAATAATGTAGCAGAATGATGATTGGATTTGAAGGCATTGTCACGAGGATTCAGGAGGCAAAACAACATCAAAGGCAAAGTGGTGTTTTAAGGTCATTGCACTTTTAGCTTTAAAATCTTGTCAAATATGTAAAGGTTATGAGCCCTGAAAATCTTAATTTTTCTGCCATAATATGAAGTTTTTATACAGTATATTTAGAAATATTAATTTTTAGAAAATAAATTATCATATTAGAGTGAAAAGCAAGTTTGTTATAATTTACCAAGACCCTGCTTTTCCGAAAAATAACTTTTTGCAGAGAAGAAGAAATTAAAGTACAAAAAAATATGACACACAATTGGTAAGTTTGGGAGCGATGGTGAAAAATGTTTAAAACATCCATTATTTTAAAAATTTACCGATTCAAAAACTCCATAACTCTAACTTCGAATTGTGAAGATTGATTTCATAGTTCAGTGATGACCACAGTGAAAATAAGTTGAGTAACAAAGGTAAAACATTTTACAGTGGAAAAATTACAGCTTTATGTCTTTAGAATCATCATGCGCATCATACATAATTCAATCGTACAATTTAAAGACTTATCAGGAATCTAGAGCTCGATCAGATGACACAACTGGCAGTTATTTTACTCCCCTGAACAAGCTTCAGAATTGACAAGCTTTAGAAGTTAATGTTGGATGAGATATGATGAAAAATATTGCTTAATGAACTGAAAAATCGATTTGACTTACTGGCTATGTATCTTGTAATGTACTCCAGTGTGACAGGATCTTCCACCGTTAGTTTATGAGACTGACATTCAATCTGGGCTTTGTTAATTAATATTCTGGCATCAGCTGTCAGTCCTGAAGAAAGAAAACAAGGAAACAGAGAGTAAATATGTGTGTAAATTGCAAAAAATAAGTAACACTACGACTGAAGGATACAATACTTAGCACTAAATCGGGAGCATGAAAAAACAAGAAGACTCTAAGCAAGTCAACTTTTACCATACTAACTAACAGCGCTAACCTTTAGAGGCATCATGTAAATAATGAAGGCCATATCACATTTAATGATAATCCTTAATTGATAATTGTTGTTCATCATTATAATATGTAAAGTGAATTGAGAAAATTTTAGCAGTAGACAGCTGAAAGGCCTTTGACATTCAAGAGAGACCATTGCTGACTTGTAAGTAGGTGCAGGGGTTCACTTATCATTCAAATGTTAAAAATACACTTCAGACCATTCCTGCAGCCCGATTGTTGAAATTTATGTCGACTTGACAAGAATCTAAAATCGATATATTAAACAGCGCAGATAGAGCTATGTCTTGTTTTATCTTGCCGACATAGCCAGTTAAAGTTTCAACAATCAGGCTGCAGGGGTTGCATGAAGTTCTGAGCCTTTCCTCGATTTCAGTTGCCCGTTCCTCACTTTAAACCAAGTGAGCGGGTGAAATTTCTATTTCTTCAAAGCTTTGAGAATTGATAGCCCAGTAATGGTTTGAATGTAAGTAAGTGTTGCCAGTTGCGCTAGAAATGTGTGGAAGAAAAATTTCTATGCATGCATATCTGCTTTACTTTTATATTGCATATTCTATTGTAGTAATAAATTGATTGATCTTATTCATACAGATTAATTTTACTTAGTTTGTCATGTTCATGCCTACTCAAGTCCAACTCTTTCTTTTGTCTTTAATTGAAAAATTTTATTGATGAAGAATGACTATTTTTTGGATGCTTTCCTTTTAGCAGCGCCCTCGATGAAGGTTGAGATGAAACCTTTGGCATCATCTGAGATTTTCTCGAGGCACATGAATTTTGAAGATAATGTTAGTAATGGCAAGAACTGGGCTGAAAGATCTGGGTAGTGTGAAGGACTAATAGCACACTGACAATTTGGAGGGGAAAATTTAAAAAATAAATATACTTACCAGCAAATGCCATAACTACATGATCGTCAAGAAGGCAGATTTTTCGGACAGTTCTTTCCTCTTGTAATTTGGCGACTGACTTTTTCTCCACCCCAAGAACTACAACATTTTCACCTCTTACACCAACCTGAAAAACAATAGGAATATGTAATGATATTGCTTTGTATGAAAGTTGAAAATGAAAAGTCTCCATGTGTAATAATTGTTTCAATTTCAGAGATTAGAAAAATCTACATAATCCTCAAAGATGTGTGAACTATATCTTGCCTTCAGATTATCAAGTGCTAGGAGTGATTTGACTTCATTGATGCTTTTTGATCTCTACAAATTGACCATCTTTTCTAACAGTTTCCTCAACACCAAAATTTCTACAGATTACCTACTTTGCCTTTAAATTGATTTTTTTATCGAATGCGAGGTTTTTTCCTAACACTATTCTGCTTTCATTTCTCTGAATTTTGCCAATTTTTGGGTTTAGAATGATTCTTTAGGCTTTAGTGCAGGGGCTAACCTCCTTATTCTTGTTAAACATTCAAAATATGCCGAGATTCTTGGCGTAGCTGATGCTATACATCGCAGGCCAGTTCGACCACGTCACTTGAGATTGACGAATCACCTTAAAGTTGATTATAGAAAATGTGCGCCAATAAAACAAAACATCAAAAAAATTGAATAACATGAAACAGTATTATCTCGTTTCAATGTACCAGCATAGTTTCAAGTTTTAAACAGTCCGCCTGAGCACCTGCAGGCTTAACTTCGACAAGTCATGCTGCATGATCAATGCTATGCGGCAGAAAGAAGAGTCCAGATGCATGACCTGAGTGAAAATTACGATATATAGGAAAAAGACCATTGAATAGTGACACAACTAATTGAGCATCTCCATGAGTATCTATGATTTAAAGAATTGAATACTCACAGCGGTCGATCCCTTTCGCACGGCTTCCAAAGCATATTCTACTTGCAGTAAATGACCATCGGGGGAGAATACAGTGATGGCACGATCATACCTTGCAGTTCCCATTTTCTAGGATAAATAAAAAAGATAAACAATGAGAGGAGAAAGAAATTTAAACTTTTACTTGATCACCGGGAATAGATAAACTCAGAAAATTGAAATTTTTAGGTTATGGTGGATTGGTTCAAAATATGAGATTCATGGCGAAGAGGGGGGGGGATTCTTGTTGCCGGACTGTCGTTAAAATCAAATAATTCAACGGACGAATAAACCGCTTCTTAATGATCTTTGAAAAGTTCTGAGGGGAAAATGTACTACTGTAATCGTCATTTATTTTTTCTAGATTATTTTACAGATAATTCACGACTTCACGAGGTGTAAATCGCTTCCCACGTATGAATAAAACAAACGAATAAAGCCTTTCTCCGCTCGATCCGAGTGTGACTATTTCGACGTGTAAGATCTTCTGCCTAGCCCTTCATATGAAGGCGAACCATGCGTACCTAGATCTTTGACTGAACCTTCTTCCGCTTTGTGTAACCACGATGGCGCGATGACTCGAACATCAAGCTCAAATGGCAGGAGGGAGCATTTAAATGATAATAAACAACCAAACCACGGATCTCAACTGCGATGAATTTACTGATCGATTTTTCCGGGCGAAATTTACAGGGAAGATTGATGAAAGATCGGAAGAAAATGAAAAAACCGAGCAGAAACCATGATCAGGTTTTATTTGTAATGAAACGTGACATACTTTAACGTTGCTATTTTAAACACGTGGTTTAGAACTTTCACCAGAGATGAGCACTATTAAAATTTAAGAGACATCGACTCCTCTAACCACTCTTCAACTATTGGGCTCTTGGGTGTGCAGCCGAGTGGCAGATACATAGACACTAAAAGTTCTCATCGAAAGGCCCCCTAGGAACTAATTTTATTAACAGGGTCTATGAAATAGCGGAGTCCCCCCCCCCCTTCAGGTTTAACGATGCTTATGCGCGAGCGAGCCTCCCTATTATTATTAAAAATTTATATGAAAAAAAAATGAGAAGGACAGAGAGAGGGCTACGAGTTCCGAAGAAGACTGAAGAAAAAGTAAACAGGGCTATATTTACAGAAAAGAAGAGATAAAAAAGTAAGGCATTACTGAGTTTGTGAGTGAGGAGATGAGAGAAAAGTAGGGTAAATAGTGGTATTTAATGATAACAATCAAGGAGACAAACAAAATTTGTCGGAGATAAGAGACTATTAGGGGAGACCGGGGCTATGTTGACCAGATTTTTTGAAAACTTGTGTCTGAAGAAACAGAAGAATAGAATGCCATTTCTTTGATGCTCTAATCCNAAAAAAAAAAAAAAAAAAAAAAAAAAAAAAAAAAAAAAAAAAAAAAAAAAAAAAAAAACGCGTATTCTTGAATACCAGCGCAGCCGTGGTCGTAGATGACAAAAAAATCGCCTGGAAAAGGAGACGCAAAATTTTTCGCGGAAAACGACTACGAGAACTGCGAAAATCCGCAAAAATTCCCGGTGCCTGAATAGGCTCAGAAACTTCTGGGCCCCCTGGTAACACGATCCCCGGCACCAGGGACCCAGTATCCCACCCTTGTGGCGGGCCTGCCTTTATGCACGCTGGGCTTGTCGATTTCCTTCGACATTTTTGCAGTGGTGAATGCAAAGCTGAAGTGCGCTTCAGCTAGAATTGTATTTACAAATGGGTGGTTTTTCTACGAGGATTAAAAATAAACAAGTGGCACGGAATATAACAAAAGAATATGAACTATGCAAAACGATAATCCGGGTATCGGAACTTGGCTGATTTGAAAACGCCTTCAAATGCGGCGTGATACCTCACGCATTCCGGAGAGTTCAAATAGTTGTATCTTTGCGCCTTAGAAATGCGACGGAAGATTGCAATTGAAATAGCCTTCATGTACGCTGGCCTTTTCGATTTCCGTTAACATTTTTGCAGTCATGAATGCGCTTAAGTGCGCTTTAGCTAGAATTGTATTTACAAATGGGTGGTTTTTCTACGAGGATTAAAAATAAACGAGTGGTAAGGAATGTAACAAAAGAATATGAACTATGCAAAACGATTATTCAGATATCGGAACTTGGCTGATTTGAATACGCCTTCAAATGCGGCGTGATACCTCACGCATTCCGGAGAGTTCAAATAGTTGTATCATTGCGCCGTATGAATGTGACGGAAGATTTAAATGGAAATAGCCTTCATGCAGGCTCGCCACATCCCATCTCGGGCCCTGGTACCAGTTTTAAGGTTCGGGCCCCAAGCACGGAGGGGGGGGGGTCCGAGGGGCATCCCCCGAGAAATTGTAGAATTTATACGACTAATCGGACGCATTTTGAAGCTTCCATACAGCATTTTTCAATCAATTTCTGCGGAATAATTATTTTTTTCCTACTTTCAGCACAAAATACTTGCGAATTGTTGCATTCAAAACATCTGGAAGATTTTTAATTTCTATTTTCTTTTTTTTGGGGGGGGGAGGGCATTTGATACTATTTTCAGTTCTAAGAGGGCCAGGCCCCCCTGGACTCCCCCTTTCGTTTGTCTATGGAAAGGGAGTTGAGCCATCAGCCATTGAAGTCGAGGATGCCCAGACTGGAGACTCTTAGCATCTGACAACGGAAGAAAATGAAACGCAGTTACTAAAAATATCCCTCTGTTCTGAAAATCTAGAAAATAGATAGATATTTTCCAGGAAGTATACTTCTTTGAAAATTTAAGAAGAATTCTACAGTGCCCCAGCGTGTTTCTGAAAATCTATTCACCTTTTGCGAAATTTTTAGGGTAAATTTTTCACTTTTTCTTACGAAGCAAGGGTTGCATGTGAATGCGTAGTGGTTTTTCACGGGTAACACGGGCCCCCTCCAGGGCCCGGGCCCCGGTACCAGGGACTCGGTATCCCTCCCCCCTCCCTTGTGGCAGGCCTGGGCCTCAAGCAAAATCTCAATAAACAAAATTATTTTACTTTTGCCGGCAGATTGGTAATACAAAGGGAAACTTTTGTGATTCTAGGAGGCCCTACCGGGCCCCGGGGCTGGAGTCCCGGCAACCCCCCCTATGTGGGGGGCCTGCCCCCCCCCCCAGGTGGTACGCCCCCCTTCTGATGCGGAAAAATTAACTCGTTTCACCGGTATTTTGTTTATCAAATCTCGAAAATTTTTAACGAATTGCAGAGCATCAATTTTTGCGTTTTGACGCGCGGTGTTCGCTCTTCCACCCCCACCCCCTTTCCCCGTGAGACCCCCTTTAGAATTTAGTGTGACGAAATCAATCACCGGTGTCTTTGTCGATTTATGTCTTTAGGACTTTTGCAGCTATTGCAAGCAGGGGGGATTATGCTACGCACATTGCTTCAAATACATTTTTTTTAGCATACTGAGGTAAAATTAATGTCCTTAGAGACAATGTCAAGGAAGGAAAAAAGTGAAAATATTGATCCCCCAACTAAAGGATCGGGTCAAAAAGTGCGAGGGTGATCATGAGGATTTGGAAAGTTTGGATTCTGTTGCCATTTTGATAGTAACCAGAATATAATGATCCAATAAATCGGAGCGTAAAATGAATGCGAAATGGACGCGTCTTGCGTATGGTATTGTCCTACTATCTCCCCCGTCTTGTCCTAGATAGCGGCACATTCGCGGTTTTTCGATAAGCCGCGCCAGCCGCGCGGTGCATGGTGGGAGCCTTGAACCCAAAATGACGTTCTCCCGACTCCCGTGTATGAAAATGGCGGCTGTTGTTTAGGTCCGTGAATACGTTCATCGCGTAACTTTCCCTATCGTAGTTTTAATTCGTAAGTTAATTTACTCTCAATCGGATAGGTTCAAGTGTTTTAGCTCGCCATTCAGTTATTTTTCACCTTCGGGCTCAGAGAATGTTTGAACTTCTAACACTCTTTCGTTGAAGTCGACTAGCACCAATGCAGACCAGTGGAGCATCTCTGATTTAATTCTTTCATTTTTGTTGATCTGGAAGTTCTGTTCGTTTTATATTCAGCCGAATTTTCTTTCGTTAAATATCTTTTATGCGTTGGTTCCTAGTTTTCACAAGCCGTTTTTCTTTCTACCATTTTCCCAATCACTAGGATGCAGACAAGAGTCGTCCGCTAAGGTTATCAACGTTTTCTGTGTATATACGCTGCCTCAAGTGTTAATATGACGAACATTTAAGTTCATAAATCGTTGATTTTCCTGTCTAGTTATGTTTCATTTATGATGGATTGTCTTCGGCACGGTGTGGCTGTTTAATTTTGTGTGTTTGACGTGGTAAGTATTATTTGTAGACTTGATAATGTGCTGAACAATTTTGAATGTGTGTCTTGTTTGTGGGTGTGTGAGTGAGATGCATGGATGAAAATGGGAGTAAGTTGTATTTACTCACAAACCCTCTCACTGCTAAATATGAACAGTTTTTCTCAACTTTCCTTGATCCTTCCATTAGATTTATTTATTTTTGGGAATCTTCTCCTTACATTATTGTCAATCAAAGCTCTAGACTTGGTCACATTGCATAGGACCTAATAGTCCTTGGAATCCATTTTTGATCCTAATTGCTTTCAGCAGTATTGAAGAACATACATTTTCTTATCTTTGATTTATCACCCATTGAAATCTATTTGGGTATTTTCTGCTGCATTTATCTGTAACTTCCCAATTCTTGATTATCATCTCCACAGTCTTCTCAAAAGTCAAAACCTCATCACAGTATCTTCTCAAATGCCTGGAACATGGCATCTTGCCTCCTCATCCATGAATTACTCAGTTTTATATTAATAATTGCTTCTATTCATCAATTTGGGAAGGCTGCACATAAGAGGGCCAAAGTAATGTTATACTGCATTAATAGCCTTTTAGGTTAAATGGGAACAAAGATTTTCTCAAAGCTGAAATTAACCTTTAGAACCTGTTTTCTCCCTCTTGTCGCACTTACACAAAGCAAGTGTATTTTTATTTTGCTTATTTATTTTTTTATATTTTGTTAAAACAAGAAATGGAATGCTGTCTCTCTGAAATAGCTTAATCTAATGACGAAAATCTCCTTTTACTATACTCAAGGGAGGTATCCAGTCATTGAAACCAACTGCAGGTAGAGCTTGTGCATTGGATGTTGAGACAAACATCAATCTCTGATTAGCTCTGAATTTGTACCACTCAACAGCTGAATACGTGTAGTCAGGTGTGGCACCACCGGTGAATGGTGACATAAACAATACTTTGACGTTTGTCTCAACATGTGATGCGCGAGCTCTATGCGAAAAGCAAGTATTTATTGAATTATGCACCAAAGTACAAGAAAACGAAGAAATTGGTTTTAGGTAGTCAAAGAGTGCAAACGGCCTCTGCACTAAATGAGAAACAGTACAACATAAAATATTTTTGACTCATAAACACGCCTTTAGTACTATTCATACTTGCAAACCTACAAGTGATTATCAGTGTCTTTTTGAAAATTCTTTAATTTTATTGACTGTCTATTTTTGTGAATAAATTATAAGTAACTCAGTATCTGAGCCAAATTTTATACACTAACTCAATCAGTCATTCATCCAACCATGTGTTTTTTCACAAAACACTAAGTATTTAAGGCTAGGTCAATCCATGATGTTCTCTACCAATCCAAAAAACAGTTAAAGTATATTCATGTATCAAATTTTGCAATGACATTTAAAATTTTGTCATTTGTACTGATTGTGTTCGTATTTTTGACCAGACCTAGGTATGTAGTATGCAGTCACTGGTGATCTCAGATGATCTTTTGTCATCAATCTTTATTTATGTAGTAGTTCCCCTTTGTAAATTCCCCATGGGAAGAAATAAAGTATCATCTTATCCTATCTTATCATATTTATCTACCTATTAGTGTAGTAGAAAAAGATTGTCAAATATTCAGTGTACTGTGTTCAGAAAAAAATGCAGTACCCTCTATAGGGCTTTTTTTTATGCGGATCGCAGTGGAATGCGGTGGATCGCGATGAACATCGGTATTTTTTTATTCCGTTCCTCAGCGTGATCCAAGCATTCCAGGTGGATCAGGGTGGAACGCTGGATCGCTCCTCCGAGGTGGGGCGAGCTCGCGATCCACTGTGATCCTAACCTAATGCGAGGAAGTTGCCGTCCCCAAAAAATCAAAACAGTAACAAATCGAACCAAATTCCAAGTTTGGATTTTTTTATCACTTGGAACACTTGAATTGGTCCGGATCGCTCAGGATTCCGATCCAGTGCGTTCCACTCCGATCCACCCTGATCGGCGATAAAAAAAAAGCCCTAAAGGCTTAAATAATGACATATTTTGAATGAGTGTGTTCGAGACTGCCTCCCAACCAATCAGATTCACTATTGAAAAGATGAGGTCCTGCATTCTGTTTCGAGACCCAGCAGACAATTTTTAAACCCATTATGAGCTGAGCATTGTGTTGGATTAGAAATTGGAATCAAAATTTAGTCAGTCAAAATGTGGATTTTTTGACGACCGTAAGCATTAAAAGACTCCTATCTCCTTAGTTTTTTCTGCTTCAATCTATAATTATGTCTTTGTTATTTTCAGAGTTGGCTGACAAACTGAAAGATGACAGACACTCGAAGGAGAGTTAAACTCTACGCTTTAAATGTTGATAGACAGTGGGATGATCGAGGAACAGGCCATGTTTCGTCTACTTATGTCGACCGCCTGAAAGGGATTTCCCTTTTGGTGCGAGCGGAGGCAGATGGTTAGTATATGTGTGTCTCTCATCAAGATTTTTTGCATTTAATCTGAAACTCAATCGGAAAGACATGCTTTTTTATCATTTTTCTTCACCACCCACTTATCTCAAGTATAGATGCCCTTCCCCTTCAACCACTTCATCTTTCATCTTAGTCGCAAAGCAGTAATACAGTTTCTTTTTTGTCTCATTCTGATGAGAATAAAGTAGATTTTCAGCTAAAAACTTAGAGCCCCCTGACTAGGGGGAACAATGCAACTAACAAAGAAGCTCACTTGTAAGTATCTAATGTTCAGAAAATCTCTTCATTAATTTCAAATGAGAAGAACATCTTCCCTAGAACCCATGATGAAGGTAATCAAGTGGTTGATTAAAAATTCAGGTAATAGAGGGAAACCTAAATTCAGACACCTGTAATAGTTACGAAATTCAGTTTTCCGGGTAAATTTCATAAAGTTTAAAAAGAGAAAAGATTCCTTAAGGGCAGGGAATTTTTGACTCATCATGAAAAGTCACCAAAAACAGTGTGCAGGAAACTTAAGTATTAAGGTGCAAGACAATGCTAGATCAAAAAATAGTCGGAAGTGAAATCATAATGTACCAAAAGCTATTTTTCTCCTGCAGTAGGTACTAAAGATAGTTAACCTTGTCAAATTGATCACAAAAAAAAAAGAATAATAATTAAGATGAACGAAGAAGCCGAACAGCACAAATAGGTAACTAACTTTATCAAATTGATCACACAAAAAAGAAAAGAAAAGAATAATTATTAATAAAGATGAAGAAAGAAGCTGAAAGGCACAAACAGGTACTGGAATTGAGAAAAATTTGATTAAAATTTTTAAGGTATAACTCGCTATCTCCGATATTATTGTATTTTCATTGTCTTTCTTTTAGAATACTTTCTTATTTATGTCCTTTCAATGTTTTTTTTTCTTTTTTCACAGGTTCTTTACTGCTAGAATCAAAAATTTTACCAGACACTTTGTATCAGAAGCAACAAGTGAGTAGTCTACAAATTTTTGTCTCTTCAGCCTTAAAAGTATAATTTATATCTATCTTAATCCTCTGAAGTTAATGTTGTCCCAAATATTACCTCAAATTTCATCGTATGCAGCTTTTTGAAGACGCATAAAAAGTTTTTTCTACCTAGATCAGCCATGTAACTGACCTTTAAGGTCTTTTTAAGAGGAAAGAAAAAGAAAATTCTAGTTACTGCTGGTAAAAATGTCTAACTCGAGCATCATCTTTTAATGATTTCAAGAAGAACAAATATTCTTAAGCAATCAGTAGTGAGTTCTAAGACTCTCTGCAACCTTGCTATTAACTCATTCTTAACCTTCAAAGGTCCTTTGCTGCTATTAGTTGTAATCAAATGTAAGTAAATTTCTTACCTACAATCAAATTTGTCAAAAATATTTATGCTCGATTACTATTGTTGACTGCTTGATTGTGCGTGTGATCCAAAAAGACTCGAACTGATATTAGATCTCTCAGCGTCACCCCAGTGCAGCATCCCAATACATCTGCCTGGACTCAACTCTCCCCTTCCTCTGTATTGCATTATACAGTGTAGATGGTACACTGTTCTAACATCTTGTTTCCATTTTTGTTTGTGGACTTTTATTCAATTTCCCACAACTTTTTAAGGAGTTTATGTAACAAATTTGCTAAACCTAATGTTTGTTTCAGGATACCCTGATAGTGTGGGCTGAAGGAGATAATTTTGATTTGGCACTAAGCTTCCAGGAAAAAGCAGGTTGTGATGAGATTTGGGAGAAAATATGCCAGGTAAACTAGTGTATTAAAATTTGGTCAATGCGCACCATGTGTGACGCAACATTATGTGACATCATGGTTTAGTTTCCATTTTAAGTAATTGATTACCATAACTTGCCGCTATTAGATTAAATAGCACCCATAACAGTGCATGAGAGTATATATCACGTAATATCCACAGAATTAGGATAAGTTGTTTAGGATAGAAAAGGAAAACAGGTGAGAAAAGCTGTTAAATAATCAGAAGGCTCAACATTTTCGGGCCCCTCTACCACGATGCAGTATCAAATCAAATAAAGAATGCAATCCTCATAAATTAGCTGAAAGTCATCGGGTATCTATAAGTGAATATCACAAAAGTGAATAAATCTGGATATATTGAAATTTTCTTGTTCTGTTTATTTTTCAAAAGTTCAATTCACCAAACTGTGTGTCCATATTTTACAGGAAAATAATTTGCCGTAGAGATATGAACAAAATAAGAGGGACGTTAAAGATTAGAATTTCATGGTCAAAATATGTTCACAATTTATGTTACATATGTTCACTTCGTAGTATGTACTTAGTTGTCCTGAATTTATCACCTCTAAGAGAATTTTTCTCTCCTCAATGTTTATTTTGATTTCTGCAGGTTCAAGGAAAAGACCCGTCTGTTGATATTACACAAGAAGTTGTTGAAGAATCAGAAGATGAGAGATATGATGAAATGCCGGACTCAGGTCCTCCTATCGAACTACCTCCTGTTGAACTTGGACGTCTAGAGGAAATCAAAAGAGTAAGCTAATTGTTGATTCAATATTAAGAATCAAGGGTTGCATATTTCTTTTTATTGATCATCCGTCTACATAAAAAAGATGGATTATAATTTTAACAATAATTACAAGCTCAACTTTCGACTAAATATTATAACTGTATCAAAAGCTGAGGCTTGTTGAGAAAAAGATGAAGTCAATGGTAATTTGTGCAACCTGTTAGATAGATTTTTTCAAAACGTATTAGTAGAGGTATCTATAGTTTAGATAGTCTCTTGCTTTTGGCTTGATTGCATTAGCAGTTTAAAAATTTAAATTTTCTTTTGCTTGGTCTATGCTCCTTGTGGAGTTCGAGAACTTCTAGAGAAAAATTGAATAGCTTTTTGTAGTTTTTGTGATTTGCTCATACTTTAAGACATGAAAATGCTCCTTCATGACTCTAACGATTCTCTAATAAGTTTTTGTCAATCATCTCCTCTTTTCCACCCTCATTCTTTGCAAATTTTGTGGTTGTCTTCTTAACAAGTCACTAATTCTTTTTAACAATTTTTCAATTTACAGTTGATTAGTTCAAATATATCATCCTCAACAAGGAAAGAAAAATTAGCAGAAGCGATAGAAAATGAATGTTATATTAGTAAGTTGATGGATGTTTTCCATATGTGTGAAGATCTTTCCAACATGGATGGGCTGCACCACTTGTATGACATAATGAAAACAATTTTTCTCCTCAATAAAAATGCACTATTTGAAGTGATGTTTGCTGGTAAGTTCAACTTCAGTTTTAAAGTACCCTTCTGTCGTGTTTAATCTCAAAATTTGGTACAATTTTAATTTTTCTATAAGTAACGAATTACTGTAGATATTTTCTATCTACCAAATCTTAGATGGTAGTAAATGTTTTTCTAGTAGTTTAGCTACTTCTTCTCACTAAATAAATTATGAATCTTTTTTATCCATTTCTGAAGCGCACAATGATGTAAAGATATGATTATGTCAGAGGGTAGAAGTGCGTCAAAGTGTGAATGACCAGTCAACTCAGTATTTCAACCATTTTGCGCATTTCATTGAGCTTTTTGACGTGCCAAGTGATACATGAGTGATCAGGAATTAAGAATCTAAGTACCCAAGTATTAATTTATACTGAGACACCCTATAATTATATGTGTTGAATACGTAAACGAGTGTTAAAAAGCTAAAAAAAATTCATATTACTTCGCACCAACAAAACATACTTATTCTGATTTTTCTGTGTTTTTTCTTCCAGATGATTTAATATTTGATATCGTAGGATGTTTGGAGTATGACCCATCAACAACTGCGCCAAGAAAACACAGGCAGTATCTTAGGACGATGTCTAAGTAAGTTCACTTTTACTCATATCTAATTTTAAAAGTTTTGAAGCGTCCGGGGTTTGTTGTAGAATTTTCAGAAAGCTTTCATCAAAAATGTTTTGAAAGTAAGAAGAAGCTTTGTAATGGAAATTATATTTTTTACATTACCTGATGAAGTAATACAATTAGAGTTATTTTTTCTTGAAGCATCGATTGAAATAAGAATAAATACTTTCTATTGGTCTGTTTTTCAACTGGTTCAAAGCTCTCAACCTTTTTCTCCAGGTTTCTCTTACTCTCCTCTTGCTATGTACAAGCAGGTGGGTTGGAGCAGGACGCCTGTACCTTGTTGCATTCAGTTTTAGATCCCTGTTCACTGAACGGCGTCCCATACAGTAGACCTTTTTTGGTGTCATCCATTAGAATTTCTAATTGTGCCTAACCTAATTTGTGCAGGGAGGAAATTAATTAATTGTTTTCCAATCAGAAGTAACCATATTTTTTTAAAGTATACTAGGTGTTAAGATGGGTTCAGTTTATTGACTTATTTATTAATATTCATCTTAATTATTATTAATATGAATTATCATACTATTTTTGAATTTGAAAATGTTAACATGTTAAATGTTGAAGTTTTTTGTCCTTTACGTTTAACCCTTTTACTTCTCCACTATTTTTTTCGATATTTTATCGGAAAGTTACTCGATTTTCCCTCTCTCCTACCAGTATGTTTTATATAAATTTCCAACTATGAAGTTGGCTGTTTCTCTTACAAATAATAAAACGGGAACAGAAATTTTGAAACATCTCAACTGAGATACAGGGTTTTGCACTTTGGTCATCCGTGTATGTTATGCTGGCAACAAAAAAGATAGGACCCATTGTTGCCAACCTAAATAAATCTATTGATGATGAGATAAAATCTTAGGATCAACTCACGCATCATAAGCGCTTATCTGATAAGGTCCATTTTTTTGCGATGAATCGCAAATGTCAAACTTCGGAATGAATTCCTAATTGTTTTTAATTATTGCTTTCTAGGTTCAAAGAAGTGATTCCGATCTCAAATCCAGAACTTCTGGCTAAAATCCACCAAACTTATAGGGTGCAATATATTCAAGATGTAGTGCTACCTACACCTACTGTCTTTGAAGACAACATGCTATCTGCACTTTCCAGTTTTATATTTTTCAACAAAGTAGAAATAGTTACTCTAATACAGGTTTGTCTTCTGTCACTGATCTCAGCACTATACTCTCTCTCATTTTCTATTAATTGGTTCCTATCAGCTTTTATTTTACTTTGGTCACCATCATCAAAATATCCCCTACACCAACTTTAATGCAAAAGTTTATTACAGTGAGATTTCTGGTGGCCGGAAAACGTGAAAAGTCAAGGAACTTTTAGCAACTTGGATACGTCAGGGACTGCAGAGGAGAAGTCTAAGAATTTAGTGAGCAGCATTTATCAGAAGTCAGCAAAGTTAAAAGGAAAATTAATCTAAGTGGAAGTTTTGTTTGAAGGTCCGGGGTAATCAGAGAATTAGAAAATGAAGAAATTATGGAAACCCTGTAGAGTTATCTCATGGTCTACTGCTGTGTTATCTAAAGAGCAGTAACCGTCAAATTTTTGTAGAAATGGAGTTTCTCTCAAAATTAGTGTAATCTAATCAAGATGAACTTACAGATTTAACTAGAACAGCAAAATGTGTACTCTTTGTATCAAAACGAGACCTACGAGAAAGCAGTAATTCTGCATAAATTGACTTAGCTTCACACAGAGCTGCAGTAAGGGGTACAACTCCCCCGAAGTAAAATGACTCATTGAGTAAAATAGCGCCTCTGCCTATTTCCAACCTTAAAATTTGCGGGGAAAAAATTGTCCAAAACGCAACCACAAGAGCATGCAGAAGATAGCACTTACAGCTGTCCCGCTTTGAATGAAAATGTAAGAGGCCATTTTTATGAAGTTTGAAATAAAAGTCGTTGATTTTTAATCATCCTCATTAGCTGGCACATTTTTGCTTTGAATACTATGTAACAATTATCAATAATATTTTGATTGTCTTTATTTCACAGGAAGATGAAAAATTCCTTCCTGATCTACTGGGGCTATTAACAGATGAAAATACCCCGGATGCAAAACGAAGGGACTTAGTTTTATTTCTAAAGGAATACTGTAATTTTGCTCATAGCCTGCAGCCTCAAGGAAAAGAAAGCTTCTATAAGGTAACTACATATCAGCAAAGTTTCTTTAAAAATTTATTTCGAGTTCTTTTTACGAGGATTCACTAGAGAGAATAACCATTTATCTTCAATTGAGCACCAGACAGGATTAGATACAGAGAGTATTATGCACAACTTAGCACAAGCATGAAAACTAAGTATATTGGAATCATAATGGGCATTTAACTGGTTTTACCTCTAAATTTTATTATGACACCTAGTGTATCAAACTTTAAATATGTGTATCATGCTCGGTATGTAATCATGCTAAGAGAACATGTTTTTTGGTGCTTCAACTTTTCTCCCGTCTTATAATCTATATGGATAGAGGGAAGCAAAACTGTCACATCTACTCTGCAGCGTTTCAAAATCTAATTTCCTAATTCAATTTGCTTGAAGGAAACCAACTGTTATTTTTGTTTGAAATTTCTTAGAGATAACCTCCATATGGGCAAGAAAAACTGCAAAAACCTTCGAGTGGAGATGTTGGTTGGTTTCCTTCCAGAAAATCAAAACAAGACATGAGGTTTTGAAACACTGTAATGTAGACGTAATTTTTTTGCTTAACTCAATTTGGGTGCAGCTCAAGATGGAATACGGCAGAAGTGATTCTGTCAGACATCCATCCATAAGATTTTACAAAATTTTCCCCAGAAATGTGCCCCATAGCATTTAAAATGTAAATAGCAATCTAAAAAAATGTTAAATCTGTCTCTGTAAGATTTTGTTGTGATATTGTTGTCCATTTTACACCCAATCCTTGAAATTCTCTTAAAGTTTAGAAGCCACTAAGTGGCTAACATTGTACCTATAATTCCATTCGATTTCTTTGTCTCCATTTTCAGACACTCTCATCTTTAGGTATCCTGTCAGCATTAGAACTTACTTTGCCGTCTGATGACTTACCTACAAAGACTGCTTCAATCGACATACTCACGTATATAGTTGAATTTTCTCCATCTGTTGTAAGAGAGTATACTTTGCAGCAAGCATCAACAAGTGATGAAGAGGAACTACTTCTAATCAACGTTATAATAGATCAAATGATAACCGATACAGACCCAGAGCTAGGACGAGCTGTTCAGCTAATGGGAATCCTGAAGATTTTGATCGATCCAGAAAACATGCTTGCATCGAGTAATAAGTCGGAGAAGACAGACTTCCTCACTAATTTTTACAAGCATAGTATACACGTCTTAATAGCACCCCTGCTCGCAAACACTGTAAGCAATGAACCTGCTAAGGATGATTGTCAAACTGTTCAGTTACTCGGAATCATCCTTGAACTCCTTTCTTTCTGTGTAGAACATCACTCTTACCATATAAAAAATTGTATCCTCACCAAAGATCTTCTTAGGAGAATACTTGTTCTCATGAAGTCATCGCACACGTTCCTAGTTTTATGTAAGTATTCAATTTTCCTGCCGTAGTTTTTTCTTATCTTAGATCAAATTGGGTCTAATGCAAGATACTGAACACGTGTTAAACTTTTGTTGGCCATACCTTGCTATCGGACCCATTGAAAAATTCTAATACCCACTTGATACCACATTTTACAGATTTTTCTTGCAGTCCTTGTGACGCAACAAACCTAAATAAGCTTCAAGATCACAATAGAAAATTATGCGCAGTAAAATTTATAGCCACAAATCTTTAAAAAAAAACATTGACCTGGAATCAAATAATGGGTCGGTTGAGTCTTTCATTTTATTATTATTATTTATTTATTTATTTATTTTTTATCGTATTATTTGGAATTTTTAGGTGAAATAAGCTTACTGTTTTTCCTCAACTTTTTTCGATGATAGCAACCAGTAGAACAGTTCACTTAAAATTGAAAAAAAAAATAGGGTAAGCCTGTAAAACATAAACTTTTTCATAGTTCCTTTTGTTTATTTTTAAGTCCAGTTTTGCAAATTTCAAGTATTTGCAGGCTTTAACATAAATGTTCTTTCAGTACAAATATCATATTGTTTTTTTCTTGTGTTTCAGGCGCTTTAAGGTTTATGAGAAAAATTATAGCTTTAAAAGATGAATTTTACAATCGATACATAGTTAAAGGCAATTTATTTGCGCCAGTGATTGATGCTTTCATCAGGAACAATGGAAGGTACAACTTACTGGACTCAGCTGTTCTGGAGATGTTCGAGTTTCTAAAATTGGTAAATTTAATCTTTTAGAATTCATTACAAGACATTTTTTTTACTTCTCTTTGAGGATTATGTACCTTGTTCTGAATATTTTAAATCATTACTCTGAATTCAGTATCTTTGATTAGTGAGATGAGAATCTTTAAACAGGTAGGAAAGCATGTTTATCTTGCTGGTTAAAAACGATGAGATCTAAGATTGAATAATTTTATTAGTGTACATGTTTTCTATGTATGTTTTTATGTAAAACCTGATTTTTTGTTTTGTTTTTAGGAGGACATCAAATCCCTCTGTTCCCATGTCGTAGAAAATTATGGAAAAGTCTTGGATGAAGTTGATTATGTACAAACGTTCAAAGCGTTGAAATTGAAGTACAATCAAAATCAGGACAAACTGAGGGACCGAGATAAAACCTCTATAGACAGGTATATCACTTAAATTATCTTACTCTTAACGACCGTTAGAGAGTTTCTCATGAAGCGTTTTGATTTTAAGAACGTTGTGAAAGAGGTGATCGGTTTAGTTCTTTCGTTCTTGTAGAGTTTAGTCGGTGATATCTGGCGAGTATATCTTTTTGTCAGTTGGCAGTCCTGTGAAACTTGACCCAAGAGTGAACCGAATGCTCTTGCGGAAACTTATCTATGCTTGTTCATCAGGAAGCTTCTCATTTAATATAAGATATATTTACAATTCCTTGTGGTTTTCTCTTGCCTTAAAAGAAAGAAAGTTCAGTTAAATTCTTTGACATGATGTGACAAAGGTCAGACGCAATAAATGCATCCATAACTGGAATGATAGTAAGCTGATAAATTTGATGAACTTTTATAACAGTGATTTAGGGTGATGGTATTCTTTGTTTCAGGGATTAAGTTTCTTTATGGTTAATATTAAAATTTTTCTAATGATCTTTTGTTTTTAGTGTGCTCAGAAATAGTAGATTTAGACGTGATCAAAGGCAGCTGGAAGAAGAGGAGGAAATGTGGTTTAACGAAGAAGATGAATTCGAAGAAGGAGAAGCTGTGGTTCCAGCCAACGCTAGCATTGCCAGCAATATCATAGCGAAAAAAATTAGTTCAGAGTTGGATTCATTAGGTTGGTATCGATCTCCTACTTTTACCTGCTTAGCTTTTCAGAAGAGAGCATTATTGATGCTGGAAGTTTTGATTCAAAGAAGTGGCCGCTCTAAGCACATTAGAGTAATTTTTATAAATTAGAGAGGGAAGAAAGTTTTGTAATAGATTGCAATTCTAAACTCTAATGCTCTTATGTTTTTAGGAACCTAAATTTAATTGCATCTTTCCTTGTAGATGGCCTGCCCATCTCACTAATTATTTAACACGCTCACTGCCTGGCTATCGGAGAGGTGGTTTCTACGAATCTGCCACAGAACTAGTTGTTTTCCACTATTTTTGTGGATAACTAGCAATTGCAGCAAGAGGCAGTAATTTCGATTGAAGACATTTATTTTTTGTTGTTTTTTGTTCCCTTGATTTTCTCGTCCGTCAGGAACAATTACGCCAAAATCTGTCTGCAGTGAACAAGTTAAAATCCAAAAAGAAAGGTTCTCTGTCTGAGAGAGTAATGTGAAACCCAACATTTCTTGGCTTTTACATAGTTTTTGAGCCTATCAGTGCATCCAGGGGCTCGTTCTTACCAGTAACTATCAGTAACTACCATTGATTAAAATGTTTCTCCGACATTTAAAACCCTTCTATTTTTTGTTTCATCATTATTAGCTGAACAACACAATCAACTTCCATCAGTATAATGTCCCCTGTTTTGAGTGTGTGCAAACAAGGAGGGGAAAACATTAACATAATTTTTTTACTTCATTTATTTATTTTATCCTCTTTTTTTTTCGCTCTCTTTTTTCCACCTCCAGCTTTGTTTAGATTTGCTGGAGTCACTGGTACATTAAATATGAAACCCAATATCATAATCTTAAACTCTGTGAAAAAATAAACAAAGAGCTTTGTGGCACTGATCTATTTTCCAAATTTTCATCCGTTAATATGCAAGAATAGTCATGTATCTTTTTTTCCTTTTTTTTTCCCAAATGATTGAATAATTTAATTCTCAATGACTCGTAAGGATCATTATTCATGTTATGTCAAGGAAAAGTGCAAAAAGTGGCGCCTTCATATACTCTGACTTTCGTCGCAATATTATCTCTAAAAATTATTGAATTATCTCCTAGTTATCCTTATCAAGTATATTTTATGTGCTCTCACTATTTAACTTTTTCCTAGTAGGTAAACCAGTCGGAGACAGGAAAAACGAAGGTTGCAGCGGTGGCAAAGCGGTTGGTGCTAAAGCATCGCTGATGAACAACAATTTGTCCTCATCTGGTCCCCTGAGCCCAACTTCAACAGACAATAAGTGCGCTGCTCTTTTCAATAAGGTAAGCTGTATTTTTCAATCCTCTCCTTAGTTTCTAGTGATATCATCACATCTGTCTCTTTGTGAACCTTTTAGATCCCAGTTTAGAAATTTAAAGTCTTTAGATGGAATTGATCTATCAATTGAATTTTCAAGCTGGCTGCTGATAAATGGCTGAGGAACAAGATGATTATGATAATAGGACTGGCAGAGGGGAAGTTGGAAAGAACAGAAAAGGAAGCAGTAAATGCAGTGTATAGTGCATTAGCGGTCGGCAAATAATTATCAAGGAAAGGAATCAAGCAGTCTGCACTCCTTAGTCGCTCTTGTGGGATCCCTACTCACTGACACTCAATCCCTCAAAATCTCTTGCTCTGAACAAACTAATTCTTGATCGTTTTTCCTCCTTTCTCTAATTGGTTTTTCATTGCAGAATTTTCTTCAAGGGTCATTCCATGCCAACTGGTGTCACTTTGAAAAAGTGACCTTCTCAGAATTTGATGAAATTTGGCGCACTCAGTGTACATGCATAGCTGAGGAAAAATCCAAAATTTTTAGTTGATTTGACCACCCATTGGGCTTTTATGAGACACTGACATCCCTCAAAAGAGCCCAGCTTACGCGAACTTTCAGTGTCTCATAAAAGCCCAACAGGTGCTCAAATCAACTTGAAATTTTGGTTTTTCACTGAGCTATGCATGTACACTAAGTATGCCAAATTTCATCAAATTCTGAGGGGGTCACTTTTTCAAAGTGACACCAGTTGGCATGGAATGACCATCTAGTTTTATTTTTCCATAACCAAATAACCTTGGTGGTCCAAAGCCTTAAAGTCACTTGTGAGATTTGAGCCTGCGTGCTCACCTTAAATGGGTTAATAATTGAATCGACGTATGCGAAAACGTCGGAGGTCTAAGACAGTGTTTCAGAATTTGAGTCGACAATTTCGTTTTAACTTAACGACACAAGATGGTTAGGTTGGGTTAGAAACAAAACATTAGAAATGTAGAACAATTTTATAAATAATACCCCAAGTGTAATTAAACGTTTACAAAATAGATCGATCCTATTCATCAGTGTCAAGGGACAAAAGAAACCCACCGCAATTATGAAACCCTGTATTGGACAACGGACGTTTTTGCTTATGCCGATTCAATTATTCTCTGATACGAGTAATGGCAGTAAAAAATAAAAATGAAGCTAACCCTTTGCTCATTGAGGGGAAATTGAGGAATATGTCTAAACTTTTGTGTTTATTTTTCCAGGCCCTAGTGGACTACGAGGGTGACTCAGATGAAGAGGAAGAAGAAGTGGGTCAGCTACTATCACCCCACAAAAGACCTCGATTTTCATAGACTTAATTGAACTGTGCCACCTTTTAATGATCGAAATAAGTTGATGAATGGTAGAATGAGTTTTTGTTAGGAGTGTTTCATGTGAATGAACAATTCGTGAATACTATTTTATTGTAAAAAGTTTTTGTTTACTTTTAATTATGTGTACGTAGTTTATGTTTTACAATTGATCATCTGAAAGAAGGCTTGCAACCGTCAATCCCTAAAATGAGAAGAATCGCGAATTTTGTAAATTACTAAGAAATATTATCGTAACAAATGTTGCTCTATTTTTAATGCTCACTCGTATGTTGTGTTTTATAAAAGGGTGTCATTTGTAAGGTACACTATTTTAATCGCTATTAATATACGTTTTTTAAAGAAAATTGATTTGCTCTTCACTTTCTTTTCTTGCCTATATTTTAGTAATTTTTACCATGATTATTCCATTGTGCTGAACAAAAATGCTGTTTTCATCGACCAAGTTTTTTTATTTTTATTTCATGATTATCATAGTGAGGAATCAGTTGATTCACATGCACTCATTAAATTTTTGTGGTTAGGAAATGCATATGAACAAAATTTTCAGTTGAGCATACATAAACGAGTTGATTTTAAGTTGGAACGAGTTAATTGCCCAGATGAGAGCTTTAGTCCATGTAAGAATACTAGCATTGTGGGGCTCATCTCGACAATGAACTTGCTCTCTTTCAGGAACAACCTGTTTATTTATGTTTGAGTATACCTCACAACAGAAACATGTTAGACTGCACTACATGATCCAATTTTCTGCACAGTTTGATTTCTCTCCCCTCAAGAGAATGTAATTTTGCTGCAAACTTTGTGACTCCAAAGGCAAAGGACATGACAAACTTTTCGAAATTTATTTTTGGTCTCCTTATGGAAAATGCCTGGGGGCATCCTCTGCTTCTTGGAGCACCCTAGTATTTGCCCTTTTTGGTTGTGACAACAATAATATGGTACACCCAACTCATGATAAAGACATTTTTCCAACATTTGTTTTTGTGGGTCACATAGGAAGTTGAGCATAGACTGAAAGAAACTTTTTTTTAAAATCATTTTGTACTATGAAAAATTGCAATTTTTAAATTTTTGCACCTTAGGAATTGGCACGGCAAGGAAATTTTTCAACTTTAAGTTGTGTGCACAGACAGGACCTGTTAAGATTTTTCAGCTGAAAACAAAGTTCAACTGAATTCAATGATACGTTCAAAAGATAAAAGCAGTTGAAGGTTTTGGCCAAGAAGCCTGCACAATTCAAAACGTCGTACGCGGCACTGTACCAACCAAAAGATGGATCTTACTCGATAGGGGGCTGAAGCCAAGAGGAGATGGAATGGCCTTTCTGGAATAAGTTACTCAAGTCAAATTCCCAAGAAATTCGTCAATAGAAAACTAAGAATCCTGACCACAAATTTTGGTGTGGGTAGAGTACTTGTTTTTAGAGTAGGAAGTCAGAGACTTGAAGAGGACATTTATTGGAGTGAAATTTTTATGACCGGGAGGCCCAGAGGTGCAAAATAAAATTTCATGGGCTGCAGTTTCATGAAACAAAGAATTTGGCAGGGGCTGGGTATGCAACCCGCATCAATATTCATGAGTTGATAAGGAACTTCGAAATTTGACTCAAGACCTTTTTTCCAAAATTTCAAATTTGAGATTTTACTGTTACTATCCCGTGGCATACTAAATTCATTGCAGAATTTCAAAACAATTCATTTTTAAAGTATCATTAAATTTTGCATCCCTGCTGAGAGGCCTGGAGTTAAGAAACCAGGGCTAAATAAGTGAGCGACCTGCAACACGTATTGACCAACTCTTGATATTTTCTTTCTTAAAAACCGACCTTTTTGTCCTTTTACTACTTTACGTGATTCATACCCTCTTGGAACCTTTGACAGTATTAAAAAATTTCGTGAAATTTTGCATCACTGGTCTTTGTGCAGCTTTTAGCAGAAATGGCTTACTCTTCAACTTGACAACTATGTAACAATTATTAACCCACTCTTGTGAGGAGTGGGGGTGACAGATGTTTACAGTTGGTTTCATGCTTTTTGTTTTTACATTTTTGCATTTTTGCGTCCTGTGTCGGTGAATTTGTGCAGCTCACATTGTTTTAAGTCTCAAATTAAAATGAATTTGAGCATTTTTTCACTCTGTTAACGAATAGTATCAGTTTTATATCAGGCTACTCCTTAAATTCAATAAATTTTGCATAGTTAGACCAGCATGAGGTGCTTGTGAACGGTTGTTTGTGCGATTGTGTTCTACTAATGTTCTTCAGACTGGTATGCATATGCACCTTATTATATTCTTTTGATTCAATAAGTAGTTTTTCAAGAAGCTGAAAACCACGAATGAACTTTAGCAGCTATCCTAATTTTTATTAAGTTCCAGTATTTTTCTGTGGCCTCTTCATCCACCTACCCTAATGGTTAAACTTAAAGTTAGAAGGTGAGCGAATATGTATTCGGTCCTCAGTAGAGTGAATGGAAGTTAGAAATATTCTTAATTTGACAATGCACCCATGGATACAACATCATCAAAACTGAGATGAATATTCATTATTATTATGGCATCGAAGAAAGACGATTAAGTCTGAACATCTTTCAATTAGCGGGGATTGATTGAATGTGTACCTACTGAAACCGTGGTAAATTGAAGTCAGTTACACTTAATTGGAGGTATTTCTGTCAAACGGAACTAAGCGCCATCGGAGGAGGAAGATAGAGGGGGGCTTGGATTGGCGGCGGAATCGGGCGTCGGGCTCATTCCGTCCTATACTCGCAATGCTTTTCCATGGCGCTTAGTTCCGTTTGATAGAAATACGTCCAATTGCTGAGAGGTTTTCTGCCTAATGTCATCGCAGCAGGAAATAAATTCATCTGCATCTTGCATTTCGAACCTTTTGACCCTCAGCAGATTCTTCGCCAAAATGTTGGAAGGTTGAGAACGATGCTATGGCACATATTGAACAAAACTGTATAGTAGGGATGAAAATCCTTCAAGAAATCTTGCTAGTCCCCAAGGCTGAACAAGCTCTAAACTCTAACCTCTTCCGAGGTACTGAGGTATCTTGTTCTTTAGATATGCTATGCTACAACACGAATGAGAACTTGGCACCGGCACCCAGCTTGTCAAATTATTTTAATGTAGGTATGTTGGCTCGCTCTGCAACATCAAAGCATCATTTTAAATCAGTATCTCTGTTAACTCTCCTTTTTACAGGTTTTAAACACTGATAGGAAAACCTGCAGCACTCAATCGTACTAATGTATAATGCAATTCCTCGAGTGCTTCAATTGCTGCAAGGTGCCAACAGAGAACAATGATGTACATACTTTGGATTTCAGTAATTGCGATTTAGCAGATGTTCCACAAACTGTATTGTTGTACGAAAGAACTCTGGAAACACTGTTGTTGAACTCAAATCACGTATGTATTTGTCACTGCTAAACTTTCACTTGACATTAATGGAAAGATTTTATTCAGTACTTACTAGCTGCTTCAGCTTGCTTCGCTGATCTCTGCACCTAGCCAGGGTGTCCGCCCTCTGGACCCACGATCACTTGCTTCGCGAGTGATTGTGGCTCGCTCTGCAAGTCAAGAGGTCACCTTGCGACTTTACTAGTTGCGTTTTTAGCAGCTTAAATCTTATTCTAAAGGGAATTCCAACATGGATATGCATACAACCTAACAGTACCTACTTGTGAGATCTTAAGAATTTTCACTTTCGAAAAACTTAAAAACAATCAATGTGAAGAAATGGTGATTCCCATCGCCAGCAATATTGCTCTGCTAAGTAGGGAAAAGTGGTCTTAAATGAGTGGATAAAATTCACAGAAAATTTTAAGAAAAACTTTCGAGTCACCTCTCTTGTAAGAAAATAAAACAAATCCATTTATACTCATGTCCTGCCTGTGTTTTATTTTATTTAATAGATTTATGATCTACCCCTGCCACTGTTTCACTGTCAGTCCCTCCAAGTCTTAAGTATTAGTAACAATGATCTTGCCATCATACCTGCTGCTATAGGATACTTAGTAAATTTGAGAGAACTGGATGTTAGCAGAAATAGTAAGTATCAAATAAATTTGATTTAATTTTTTAATTTTTCTTAATTTCTTTGATCTAATTTTTAGTATATTTTGCATTTTTTTTCATTCTTGCTGAAACTTGACAACTTGCACATCATGATTCACAGAATGTGCATGCTGAAAGAGAATGAATATATGAGGCCTTATATGTAACAATGGCGGATGTGAAAAATTACCTTTTCGAAACACGCTTAAAAACTGTTTTGTTCACACAAAAATTTAATATGTTTGGCTCTGGCGTAATGTACAGATCTCGAAGATCACATCTCAAGTATTTTCTCAAAATTTTCTCGATGCCAAAACAGTTTTTTGAATGTGATTCGAAAAGGTAATTTTTCACATCCGCCATTTTAGTATATTTTGCATTTTTTTCATTCTTGCTGAAACTTGACAACTTGCACATCATGATTCACAGAATGTGCATGCTGAAAGAGAATGAATATATGAGGCCTTATATGTAACAATGGCGGATGTGAAAAATTACCTTTTCGAAACACGCTTAAAAAACTGTTTTGTTCACACAAAAATTTAATATGTTTGGCTCTGGCGTAATGTACAGATCTCGAAGATCACATCTCAAGTATTTTCTCAAAATTTTCTCGATGCCAAAACAGTTTTTTGAATGTGATTTGAAAAGGTAATTTTTCACATCCGCCATTGTTACATATAAGTCCTCATATGCGCATCCTCTGAAACAAAAATTTTCAAATCATCCTGACCAAATAATTTAACTATTTTCATTTTGTGAGTAAAAAATACATGATCTAAAACTTACTAACTATGTCTGTAATTTTTCTTTCAGATATAACAGATATTAGCGACTCGATAAAAAAATGCAAGAAACTATCAGTATTGAATGCCAGCTTCAATCCTTTACATCATCTGCCAACTGCTCTCACTCAACTTATATCAGCAGAAGAGCTCTATCTGAATGACACTGTTCTTGAATACCTTCCAGCTAATATTGGTCGTCTCTCTAAATTGATCATTCTGGAATTACGAGGCAATAAATTATGCAATTTGCCAAAATCCATGAGCAGGTTAGTGTGTCTTTCTCGATTAGACATTGGCCAAAACCATTTTGTGGAATTTCCATCAGTTGTTGGAACTCTAGTCTCCATGAAAGAGTTGTGGTGCGATTTGAACGAATTCAACACTGTCCCCTCATTCATCGGGAACCTAAAAGAATTGGTGCATTTTGAAATTGGAGACAACAACATTCAAACCATAACAAATGACATTGATGGCTGTAAAAATCTAATTGACTTCTCTGCTTGTTATTGTGATATTCAGTTTGTGCCTCATACTATAGGATTACTAAAGAATTTATTATGCCTTAAGTTAGATTACAATAGCATGACTTCTCTGACTGAAGCCATCGGAGGACTGTGTAATTTAGAAGAATTATCCTTGTCTCATAATAAGCTAAAATCTGTTCCTTCCTCTATTGGTCTCTTACGCAAACTCGTATCACTCCATTTAGACTCAAACAAATTGAAAAAGTTACCTCCCGAACTGGGGAGTTGCTCCAGTCTAGGCGTTTTAAGTTTGAGGAATAATCTATTAGAATCCATTCCTGCTGAGGTAGGTAACCTGTCAAACCTCGGTGTTCTTATTCTAGCAGATAACAAACTTTCTGATCTCCCAATGTCAATCTTAAAGTTGAAAAAACTTAATGCCCTTTGGTTGTCTCACAATCAAAGTAAACCTCTGATACCTTTACAAGTTGATTTCAATGTTCAGCAAAATGTCCGGGTGCTCACCTGTTATCTTCTACCTCAGCAGAAGGGTGGTGACGAGGGTGTGGCTGAAAATGCTTACTCTGATGAAGGAACTAACTCTCTGAAGAAAAATCAGAAAATACGCTTTGCGATAAATTCACCACAAGACAAAGTAGGCCAGTTAACGCGAGCACCCACTCCATTTCCAAAAAAATTAAGGAGTCTATCGAAAGTTGCTCAGAAAATTAACCAAGGTAAATCCTTCGACAATCCTGAGGTCTTAGAAAATTGCATTAACGCCTCTCAGTCTATCGAATCAAATGTCCCTCAGTTTGCTGAAACAAACAATCAGTTGGTGAATGGAGAAGTTTACCCTGAGTCTTACCAGCGGTCTCCGTCCTCCCTTTTTCATGTCAATGAAACCCATGACCAATCGGTACCCTCTCTCAGTCAAATAGATTCTCGATCTTTCTCATCCAATAGTTTGATCAAAACTGCCGTTGTAAAGAAACAAGATCATTTACATAACAGTAACTGCATACCCCTTGATGAAATTGATCATCAGACGAGCCAAACTGAACCTGTTGTGGATCAGCTTCACAGGGTCGAAAATTCTAACCCAAGTTTTTATGATAGTATCAACAATTCTCACCAAAGAGACTCTCAAAGAAGGCCACCCCCATACCACATTGCTGCTACCTACTCAAAAAAGGCCTCTTTCTTTAACAGGGTTTCAGAGAGCCCAACTTCTCTCAGGTATTCGTCCAATAGGTCCAATTCAAACAATGTGTCGACAAATGTTGCTTTATCGGACAACCGCAGAGACAGTGTCTGTAGTGAAGCATCCTCTGTGCCCTCTTATGCTAGGTTTCATCCATCGAACCATGACAGCCAGGATTCTCCAGAGAAGGCTGTGAGTGACTATTCTTTTGCTCAAAATCAATCTCTTTCTGTATTTAATGGATGCCAAGAAAACCATAACAAACTCACGGATCAAATCTCTGATAACCATGTTTCTTACAAATTAGAAGACATTCAGACTGATAAGTATACAAATTCTGTAATCCAGCAATTTCCAGAGGGAAAACCCCCTGTATTCAAGGCTTCCCCATACATTGCGGAGAGCGATAACAGTGATAGTGATGTAAATTCTACCTGTTCGAAAAACAAGTCCAGGCAATCAGATTATTACAATGATCTAAATCAGGTTATCCGTACTCTTTCCTCACAGATCGAATGAATGAATGAATGTACGTTTGATAGTTCATTTTTTATTTCTTATTTTAGTAAGTTACAATCATGAAACTCCTCAGAATACCAATTATCACACCAATGAAGTATTATTTACTTTTTAAGTTTTTAGTCTGTCCGAATTCCATTTCTACAATAATATATTAATTATATATTTTTAGACATTTTTTATTGTTATTTATTTTTATGATCGTTTTTATTGATATTCTCTGCATCAGGTCTGAAAATTAATTTGCTGTCATAAACAGGCAAAGCACATATTAATTTAGGTATTTTTATAACAATTATTTTTTCTAATCTACAAATATACCTTTATATCTTTTCTCTCTTGCTCGACCCAGAGTATAGATAGCAGCGTGATTCTAAGATACTCTTCTTTGATTAGTCTTCCAGCAAAATTTGTATAAGTTTTTTCTAATATTTTTTTACTCTCCAGTACTTCTCTGTGATTTTTGTAAATATCTCGGTCTTGCTTCTAATGCATGGTGAAAAATAGTAATCAAGGAAATTAGATACATCAAGGAATTGTGTCACGCATTCTCCACTGAAGTACCGTCGTCATTTTCAATTCTCAAAGATGGAGAACCAGCATTACTTATTAGAAGAAGATATACCGTATTAGGAAAGATTTACCGTACAAAAGTTTAGTGTATAAGGTTAGTGCCGTGTCAATTTAACAGCAAAAAAGGTCATGAAACAGGCGCTACTCCAGTTAGAAAGACACTTTCTTAGCACATTTTTGTGCATCATAAGAAAGTTGCATGAATAATGTAGTGAAAAGTTTGACTCATTTTCAGGTGTAGTTTTAAAACAATTTAATTTTGTCCAGCAAGTCTTCAGTGAATAATGTCTTCTAACTAGAGCAGACTTGTATTTTTGGTCAACTTTGTGCTTAAAAGCTATGATTACAGCAATTTCTCAAGGTGCCAAAGTGATTCTCTGTAAAAACTACGTTTAATTTAACTTGCAGCATTTATTACTGTAAAGTGCCTTGAAGCTTTAAAATGTTGTTCTTTCTGCAGGTTGATGAAAGAGAGTAAACCCTTCATCCTTCAATTCTGTTGTTAAATTTTAAGAATTTATCAACTTTTGTCAAAACTGCATTCATTCGAATATTGCAGTTCCATTTTTCTCAAAACTATGATTTCCGTCACATGTGGTTATTTGAAAGAATTTCTTTCCTTTATTTTCTCTTTCCCTGATAATTCCCTGCTTTTTAAGTGAAAATCCTCTGATTGAAATCGGGGGTTTACCTCTTGCAGAAAGAAACTTCTTAATTCAGCAAGAAGTTCATTTAATGAATTTTAATTTAAGATATTAGAGAATTTATTTTGATCTGCCGAAACATGGTAAAAGAATTTGAGAATTTGTATTGAGCAAGATCACAGTGATCAAGCAATGAAGACTGATCATTTTAATGTTGCTCAAGGGCACTGTAAGATGTTCCTAGCCAATTTTTTCGTTATCCAAAAGAAATGTTCCAAACTGTAACTATGAATACTGCATTTCATTATTATTTTTGCATGAAACATAGTTTTCAAACCTGACGTTATCAAATCAACTCCAACCAAACAAAAACCCCTGTTCACAATTTTGTGTCTGTGTTGTTTCTTTAAGTTCCTGGAAAACTTAAGGTTTGTAGAAATTATTCTTCAAGAATTATTTTCACCAAGAATTTCTTAATGAGAAAATGTCTATAATTTTTCAATATTCTTAATCTATATTGCACACCCTAATTCCACATTTGAGCTAGTTAATTCCAAATGTAATCAGTAAATATCTGACAAGATCCGTCACACACGAGATGGATCACAACTCTCATTGTCAGTGAGATCGTAATTGGATGTCATTATTATCATGAAGGTATCATTTGTCTGATCTTCTTCATAGTTCCTTTATCCTTTATCACTCCATTGTTAACAGCAGCACTAGGTCCTGAATTACTTGTAGTTTTCTTTTTTTCTTTTGGTATTTGTAATTAACTTGACAACTTACAAATATTTTAGCTCAACTGTATCATCAAAATGTTCACCAAAATTATTGATATTCTTTTATTGATGATATTCCTTGTAAGTAGAAAATTTGTTAAAATAGGATTAATGAAGTATGAAGAAAATCTATGAACTTATCGTATTTAAAGTTAAAAAACCGTTTTTATTTTGGTTACTTCATTGATGAGGCTGTTGCTTTGTAAATTGTACCCAGGGCCTCAATCAGTCGATTAAGTTCGTCCCCAAGTTTTTGGCAAATATGAAGCTCTATCTTTAGTGCAATGCTGCATTGCAATAAAAGCATTCTAAGTTCTTCATGCATATCCCCAGAAACAGTATGTAACGTGCCTTCTATTTGAAATTGCCTGTTTTCCCCAAGATTATTATATCCATTTGACAGGCTCTGAAAAAAACCATCCTCACCCTCACAAATTAACTTTTTTAGATATGTACTTTAAAAATAATGAACACACCTCTAACCCATCAAAACTGAGGGTGCTGTATATCAGAAAATTAATTCTCAATGGTTAGCTAATGAGTGTATTGCTAAATTGCTCAAGGTGATTCTTTAGCACTGTGGAGAGTGATTCGATAGTCGATTGGTTCAATTTCTAATTTCTGGATTTTAGGACATTTCTTAAAAACTTCTGAGCATCACACTACGCTAAGTATGTCAGGTACTAGTGCATACAATCTGAGTAAGAAACTTTTTGAAACAACTCCAAAACTCTGGTCCGAGTGAGTGTTGCAAACGGAAAGGGCCGCTTGTGCTTACCGCTTCGCGGTATTGAGCAGAACCATACTTTTGGGGTTGTTTCAAAGTTTTTCTTCGTCAAATTTTGTGTGCAAATACCTGACGCTTTGCAGCTTGATGTGTTGTTCAGAAACATTTGAGATATGTCCTAAAATCCAAAAATTATCAATTGATCTATTAACTATCAAATTCTCTCTTAAGTACTGAAGGACCAGCTCAAAAATAAAAATTTCCGACAGCTCCAAAATCATGGAACATAGAGTCCCTAAAAGTAAAGCTTGCTTTTCTTTAATTAGCTGTTTTCATATTTTAATGTCAAAAAACACCCCCTGTCATTTACATAAGTTTTTTATGTTCTCATGGGCTAGCACTGAGGATTAATGACTTTCTGATGTTATTGAGATAGTAGCAAAATCAACCAGTTTGGTCTCCCTAGAGCTGAGGGTGGTTTTACCTGGATGCGTCTCATTTAGTGAAATGTTTCTGCTATTTTGTACCTGGTTTTGACACGCTGTGATGTCCTATTAAATTAACTGGCAGTCAACTCTCAACTATTTCCTGTTTTTTCTTGTCTTTAACTGATGTCAATAACCCTCAAGTCAATCCATTTTTTTCCCAATTTTGTATTCTGCCAATAAAGTTTTGTTTTGTAATATTGAATCTTTTGTGAGCTGTAAAGCTGAAAATATCTGAATTTTATAATTAGCCCTGGTCCATAGGAATTTTTTTTCCTTCAAACTTGAATTTGATTTTTGAACCTTAACTGATGTCAATAACCGTTGAGTCAATCCATTTCTTTTTTTATTTTATTTGATATTTGAACTTTGGTCTAAAGGATTTTAACAATGAATAAGTGATAAATAAATTTGTCTCTCAAATTCATCAAATGGGTAAAATGGACCTTCGCACGGTTTTTCACTCATGTTGTAAAGGAATACATTCAGAATAAGAGAGCTGCATTCCATCCAAAATGGGCCCTAGGGTGGCCCTAAGACATAGGTGGTGAAAATTTTTCTCAAATTTTTTTTGCTCCCACCCCTTAAACTTGATCCAATGTATCAAAAAATGACCCTTGCACAATTTGAGCCTAATCGGATAATATTAACACGTGCCCCAAAGCACCACTTTTTTGCCAGAAATTGACGAAATCGGCAAAAAATGTACAAAATTGCCCATAACTCGAAAAATACGATTCTTACCAAAAAATGCAAAGAGTACAGAAATGTTGCAAATTTAATTTCCTACAAGGTAGGTCCAGCATTTTTACTCTCAGACTAGTCATTCTGCCAAAATAAATGCAAGTTTATGGTTACCGCCGGACAGCTCTGAAATCTCTCATATGATGCTATGTGATGCTACGGCGTCAGATCCCACTGTTTACTCGGGAACAACCCTATCTTTTAATACACTATTTTTATCAGAAAAAGAGGGCAAAAATGAGCGTAGTATGTACAAAAAAATTAAATAACAATCACTTGGACCAATGCAAGAGAGATATATTAACTAAGGATTGAATGTAAAACAACATCGGTGCTTAAATCTAGGCTATGTACACTTCAATTTAAAATTATTAGAAACTTTCGTCAATTTTCTTTCTCAAAATTTAACAATTTTAAGAGGTTTTAATTGCGCGCAGTCAATCAGTTGCATTTCATTTTCAGTGTGAAGTTGAAAATGCCTGTTTCATCGTCCCTTTTGTTACCTTCTTAAACCTCTTTCGGTACTCCGCAACTGTCTGAATTATTGCCAGTCTCTCCTCCTCATCCTTAGTTAAAAGTTTCTCATATTCATCAATTAGTTTTATGGCTCTTTCAGAGCAGTCGTTGACTACTTTAATTTTCCTGACAATACTACAGTTTTCTTTGTATTCCTTAATCTCGTGTATCCAGAATTTCATAAAAGCTCTAAAAATATCACATATTTTTTTAATAAAGCCATGATTCCACGTGACGCCGAGAAGCACAATTCAATGGTAATAAAATGTAAATTGTTTCATTTTCCCGCAAAATTTTAATTTCATAACTAAACCTTTTTTCTCCTTCTGGTCTTCTCTGGCTTATCACATACCTATTATCTAAACGAATAGCAAAAGAGATTAAAACATTGCATAAAGATAGAAAGTTACACTTACAAATTCTTTTCAAATTAGCAGATTCTTTCTCTTTTCGTGATTGTATCTTCTGTTGTTTCTCTTGAGCTTTCAATTCTTCATCAGCCAATTTCTTGTCAATCCCAAGCATATATCCTACTCGGCCTTTTTTCCGCTGATTCAATAAAAATACCTTATCCTCAGGGATCTGGATCATACTTAAAGCTTCGGCATGGGCAACATCAAACAAATCATTAAACCTGTCAATGAAGTCCGTTTCATTTTTTTTATCAAGATCTGATTGTCTACGAGAATGTTTCTGGATAGCTCGCCATTCATTATAAAGTTTTTCCACTTTTGTCACAATGTGGTCCAATCGTTGCACCGAAATGCGGGCTTTTGTCCAGAAAACTATCACCTCTTCCGAAACCAGTTTAGCACTTGCACGTAAGCTAAGTTTAACCGTCCGTAAATTGAAAAATAATAAGCGCAAAACATCGAGATTCGACGGAAGCTTACAAGTCACGATTTGGAGAGAAGATTCTCCAATCAAATAAATGTTTTCACCTTGGCTCCTTAAGCCGTGAGCCATTTCAAAAAACACTGAAACACTTTTCAGACAGCAACTTCTTGCGCGTTGTTCGTTACATTCTCAATATTTGAGGGCACTGAACAAAACATCGCAAAATCTGGGTCCGAGCTCCCTGCTCCCGAATGTGCCCCAATGAGTCAGAACATATTTGCCACATAAAACAATCTCAAATCCAAGTTTTATCTAATCTATGCACTACTATGCATGCAGTGTTAAACTGACATTTTTAGCACAATCTAGCAACACTTCTTGCCTCCAAGACTCCCGCGCATCGGCAATGAAAGTCACCAAAGATAAGAGAACCTTTGAGGCTTCTCCCCGAGATTTTTTGCTGACACACTCAAAACTCCATAAGTCCCGGCTCTTACAAGCTAATTTCAAATTTTATTTTTATGCCCTCATCACAGTCATTTTCGCCTTATTTTTCTGATGAAAATGATGTATAACAATATAGAGTTGTTCCGGAGTAAACAGTGGGATCTGACGCCGTAGTATCACATAGCATCATATGAGAGATTTCAGAGTTGTCCGGCGGTAACCATAAACTTGCATTTATTTTGGCAGAATGACTGGTCTGAGAGTAAAAATGCTGGACCTACCTTGTAGTAAATTAAATTTGCAACATTTCTGTACTCTTTGCATTTTTTGGTAAGAATCGTATTTTTCGAGTTATGGGCAATTTTGTACATTTTTTGCCGATTTCGTCAATTTCTGGCAAAAAAGTGGTGCTTTGGGGCACGTGTTAATATTATCCGATTGGGCTCAAATTGTGCAAGGGTCATTTTTTGATACATTGGATCAAGTTTAGGGGGTGGGAGCTAAAATTAGAGGGGGTCAAATTTTAGGGCCACCCTAATGGGCCCTCAGCCCATTTAAGGACTTGTACAACCTTCCTAGAAATATGACAGGTTGCAGCCTGATTGTTTTAACTGTTTCTGACTTTGTCAGCAAGATACGATAAGATAAAGCCCTACCTCTGTTGTGTATTGTATTGATTTTCGATGTCTTTTCGTTTTGCGCTGATATTAAATTCAACAATCAGGCTGCAGGGCTGTCACATTGACAATTAAATCTTTGTGAGTTGGAAGATTTTACTCCTATGTGCGTAGGTGTGCCCACTTACTGTGTGGTATAATTATGTTATTCCAGAATTCATTGAAAAAAACATTAATATTTATTAAATTAATATTTTTACAACGATGAGTTGATGAACAAAAAGAAAAATTAATAAAAAACCAGCCAACTTCACAGCTTTCAAATGTTCATGAAAAAGTTAGGAAACAAACAAGTTCATTTACTTGAACAGGAAAAAAAGTGGAGAAGTAAACAACGTGGAAGGAAAATCAGTAGATAAGTACTTTCTGCATAAACTCTGAAAAAATAGCTGCGTTTTTGATGGGCAAAAAAAAAAAAAAAAAAATTGATTAAAAATAAAAGCAAATCAATTTTGTTTTTTTTTTTCAATATTTTTCCAGGGTTCCTCTTGGTACTCGCTTACTGAGAAAATATTTTAAAAAATGAGGATGATAAAAAAAAAGAAAATTAATGACTTGAGAACTGAATTAAACAATTTCGTCCAACAAAGGCATAATGAGGAGAACAACTGACAAAGTCGACTAATCGCATAACTTTATTTCTCTTCAGTCTTGCCTTGTCTAGTGGACAAACAAAAAATTTCAACAATCGAGCAGCAGTATCCCAATATTTGATGAGTTTGCGCTCACCTATTTGGCAAATCCTCAGATTTATAAAGCTTACGAAATCTATGGTAGAAGAGCACCCTGTAACATCCACTTTGAGAACTAAATACAAAATTAAAAGAGAGCATGAGCATAAACACCTGACGATTTTTTGAAGAAACATGAATGAGCTTGAAATATAATTTGTGAAGGGGAAAAAAAATTCTATCTTTTTCATGAAATCAATGACTGAAATCGAGCATTAAAATGCTTTGCTAACAGAGGTAAATTATTGCCAAACCACTTTAATGAAAACTCCGGTACAATCAAAAGACAACTCAAATTTTGGTTCTGCTGAACCACTTTTAACTTAGGTGGTCAAAATTGGTTTGTCAAATTGACCTCACTCGTTTGGCTGAAGTATTAAGGTCAAAGTTCAAGGCAAAAGTATCCTAATAGACAAAAGGTAAATGAAACGTGGTTTTAGAAATCATGATCAACAAGAAATTACACATTCAACAGGTACAATTAAGTAAGCTTTTCTCACAAATAACAAGTTGTTGTTTTTACGGCACTATTGATGCATCAAAAATTGATGTTCTTGAGATCAATTTATTGAGAATTGATGTAAGTATTGGAGACTGATACATTCAAAATGGAGATATTTGAGGTGCGCGTGACTAAAGAAAAAAGGAGAGAGGAAATTTTTGGATGACATAGATAAATCAAGTTTTTATACATTGATTTTCAATTAAAGCTGGGAAAAACCAAAAATTGCAATAGTAATGTGTACTTTGTTGAGTTTTGCGGTGGAAAACTGAGAAAGAGAACGTTCAGCCCTGGTGAATGCATTGGAATAGCCAGCTGGGGTTCTGCTGAGAGATCTATGATGATTTGGATGTTTTGTGACCTCGCTAGCAGATCACACTCAGCCTGTGAGCCCAGACTAGTATACTGCAAAATCCTTGACGGCACTGAATCGCCATCATGGATACGGCACTAGGTATAGCACCGAGGTGTGATCCTTACTCCATCTGCAGTCACTGCTGAACAACTGAACGTATTTCTGTCAAACGGAACTATGTGCATTAAAACATGAGCCCTGAGACCCATAAGAATGATATATCGACGGTGTAAGTTGGCAATCACATAACTCGTTTGCGGTGTCTGAAAATCTCCGCCTCTAAGTTATTTTTTTAAAGGAGAACTAATTGACATCATTCCTTAAAGTTCTTGAAAATTTTTTTTCGCACAGAGAAGAAAAATCACGGCAGTTTTAAAGAATTGCCGATGAGTAGTTTTCCGTTTAAAAAATAAAGTATGATAGGAAGTCTGCAACATCGCAAACCGATTTATGTGATTGCCGACTTACACCGTCGATATGCATAACAGGGCTCACATCATAATGCATATAGCTCCACTTGATAGAAATACGTCCAACTTTCAAGACGGAACAAGAAAAACACTTGAAAAACATTCCCCCATCAGTCTTGCACATTTGTTACATTTTGTTCCTCCAATCTTAATTTTTGGTTTTTTTCTGGCTTTGATTTTCCTGCAGAATAGTGTGCACTCAGCCCTATCCTACCATCCTGTCACTTACAATATTCAAGCAATGATTTTAGTGTTTTTTCCCACAGTATAATAATGTCTTGCATATCAATATTTGATGGATCAATTTTTGATGCATTATTTTTGTTAAGTACACTGATTCTCAAGTGACTGCTGGTAGGCCAGCAATACAAGTCACAACTCGCCCATTCAGAGAACTCTTAAGTAACGTGACTGTCATACAAGATACAAATACATTATCTCTACAAGAAAAAAAATACTGATAAATAACTGTACATAAAGAGAAAGATATTAGAAAAAGGGGCAAAGATATTGATGAGTATCTAAATTGCGCAGGATGTGTTCCATTAAAGGGGTTGTTTTGACCTGAAAGGTTTGAGGATCTAAACATGGTAACATGGTCACTACAGTTCAGACACTGAAACATTTATAAACATCCAAATTAGCTGAACTGATTTTGTAATCAAAGAATTGCAGGCACTCGAAGTTTACTAATTCTAGAAGAAGTGCAGGTTTACGAAGACAAGAAAATAGTGTATTTCCCTCGGAAAATACACTAAAAATTAAAAACGTTCGGAATGTGATATGGATACAAGTATAATTTTTAGCTCCGAGTCAAAAATTGACCTTAATTTCCTCTTTAAATCCACCACTTTACTAGTAAATCGAGAGTTGCCCAAAAAAGAGGGTTTTCCGAGAAAATTTCAGCTTTCTAAAACGTGGTTCATAAGAGAAAATGATCAAGGTCATTTTATAATTTGCAGCAAAAATCTGCTTTTTAACAAAAAAAAGAGCAATGTTTTTAAAAGCAACAAAACTATACCACTTTGCTCCATTAATCAGGCAAAAATATTTTAAAAACACCTCAAATAAGGACAGGTATTTTTAGGGAATAAGATTATTCAGGTCAAAATTTTCTTAATGGGACACATCCTTATCTTATGCTGTTGGACTTGAGTTTCACGCAACATGGTTCTGAGGATCTGCTATCTTCACAGAATCTAAAGATTTGACATTCAGAGAAGATCAAGAAAAATAACAAATGCTTCATGATTTTCTTTGCTTTTGAAGAATTTACAACAAAAAAAGACATTCCCTTAATTTGCAGTGAGAGAGTGATTTTTCCTTGCCGATGTTTTTATTGTTTTGATAATGAGGATTACAAGTGAGAAAGAGCCAGTAAGGAAAAGTTATTTCTCACTACACATCAATATGAGTGCCAATAAATTGAAACAAGACTCGAAGTCCTATTAAGTTCCACTTTCTACTGGACTAAATATAACTATTAGACCATAAGTTGATGGCTTGGTTTGTGGGAGGGATGAAAATAAGATGTTCAATATAATAATACTGTGGAGATCCTTACTTAATGTTTCACTGGTTCAATGGCTAAACAATACATAAGACACTAAAACTGCAAAGAATAATTTCTAAATGACTTTTTATCATCCGAGAACTAGCAATATCTTTGAACAAAAACCGTTCTTAGTAGAAAAAGAGCCACATGAAATGTAGGTAAGCCTCAGACTGCACTAAGGTAATGAGGGATAAAGTTTCATGTAATACTTGAGCGTTACAAAATACTTTTAAGAGAAATTATGAATGAGCCTACTTAAAGTAATTTACAGAAAAATATTTTACGTACATTAAAAAAAAAAAATGTAAGTTGCTTTGAATTGTCAGTGTAATAATGCTGACTGCTAGTCACAATTAGATAGTACAACCTTTCTCATGAAAATATAATTTTCTGGAGAGCCACGAGAAATTGATAATCTAGATGTAGAAAGCCAATGGCATTGCGCCAAAGGATTAGTGTCAGGTCATTGCTGTGATCGACAATATGTATTATTGGTAGATTTTTTATAATACTTAAGCTTAAAAATAGTGGCTGACGAGAAAACTGAGCCACTATTAGAAAAACTTGAACGTGTATTATTCGTGATGGCTCATCATGAAAGATACAAAGGACGTTTCCTCGAGAAGGACACAAAATAAAATACTGAACTTTACATTAAGTCAAAATATGATTGACTCCTCCTTAATTTTCTGCTTCAGCATGTATCAACGGTGAAACTACCAGACCATGTACCTCGTTTGCTGCGTTTAAAAATCTTGGCTCCTATTTTATTTTTTTGAAGGCAAAAATCAATACCGTCCTTTTAGTTTTCACAGAGTAAAAAAAATCACTGATCTCAAGAATTGACGACAAATAGTTTTTCATTTAAAAAATAAAGGAGGCTAGGAATCTGAGACTTCGCAAACTGAGATGCGTATTCTAATAGTTTCACTGTTGATATGCCTTCAATTTTGCTTTATGTCATTGAAGCTTGATTACTATTAAATACAATATTTGCCCTTTTTAATACTGATTTTAACATTTAAGGTAGCAATTCCTTGCTTTCTTAAAACAAAAACAAAAAATACTGAAATAGTTGATGGGCTCAATTTTAAATTACATTTTTTCCCCATAAAGTTAGTAAAAACATTTAAGTGGGAGTAAATTCCATTAGTGTGAATATCAAACTTTTTTATGTGATACGCAAATGTAAAAAATTAGTATCATAGATAGATTCCTATGCTAAAAGGAGGGTAGGTAAAAAAGTAGCTAAAAAATTAACATAAGATAACCCTCACAGTGGATGGAGAGTCAAATATTGCAATTACTTTCAGTCAATTATTGCAATTAAAAAAAGGTCTCCTCACAATTTCAGGGGAGAAAACAAAAGATATGTTCTAGAAATGCAGAATCTTTCCTTGTGTACGATCAAATGGTCAGGCACCGACTAAAAGGGGAACAGGGATGACGAAGAGAGAAAGGACAAATTTGAAGAAGGAAAAAAAGGAGAGGCAAAGTAGTAGTATAAAATGCAAAAAAGTAAAATGCAAAAAAATCGGAGAATGAAAGAAGAAAACAGAAAATGAAGGAAAATAAGTGGTGAAAAGAAGAAGTGGAAAATCCAAAATTAAGAGAGGAAATGGAAAGCAGGGAAAGCTACTGGAGAGTACAAAGCTAGAATGAAGTAGCTAGGTAAAGTCAACGTTTTTATCGAGTATTAAGTGAGCTCCTTGTATATTATTTGATTTGGGTGTGCAACACTATCCTTGCAATAGGTGCTGTTAGTTCACACCAATGCTCTGATCCCATAAAAGATCAGGGAGCTTGGCCAAAACTGAAAGGGCAAAAAGCAAATTTTCTTCCCTAAAGAAAATTATGGAACTTTTACATTAAGTTTTACATTGCCATTCATCAAAAAAAGGAAATGAGAAAAATCGAGACCTTCACTTAAAAGGATCATCAAAATGAGGGGTTCAGTTCAGTCAGAGGTTCTGGAAGATTCTGCACTCCCCCCCCCCCCCCCCCCCCC